CTTCATCTGGTACATAGCCCTCTGCCTTTTCATCTTGTATGTCTTTCTGTGAATGTGGTTTTTGTTCCACAGGCTGCAGGATTGTAGTTCTTCTTGCTTCTGCTGTCTTCCCTCTGGTGGATTAGGCTATCTAAGTGGCTTGTACAAGTTTCCTGATGGGAGGGACTGGTGGTGGGTAGAACTGGCTGTTGCTCTGGTGGGCAGAGCTCAGTAAAACTTTAATCCAATTGTCTGCTGATGGGTGGGGCTGGGTTCCCTCCTTGTTGGTTGTTTGGCCTAAGGTGACCCAACACTGGAGCTTACCTGGGCTCTTTGGTGGGGCTAATGGTGGACTCAGGGAGGGCTCACGCCAAGGAGTACTTCTCAGAACTTCTGCTGCCAGTGCCCTTGTCCTCACGGTGAGACACAGCCACCTCCCACCTCTGCAGGAGACTCTCCAACACTAGCAGGTAGGTCTGGTTTAGTCTTCTATGTGGTCACTGCTCCTTCCCCTGGGTCCCGATGCACACACTACTTTGTGTGTGCCCTCCAAGAGTGGAGTCTGTTTCCCTCAGTCCTGTCGAGCTCCTTTAATCAAATCTCGCTAGCCTTCAAAGTCTGATTCTCTAGGAATTCCTCCTCCTGTTGCTGGACCCCCAGGTTGGGAAGCCTGACGTGGGGCTCAGAACCTTCACTCCAGTGGGTGGACTTTTGTGGTATAAGTGTTCTTCAGTTTGTGAATCACCCATCCAGCAGTTATGGAATTTGATTTTATTATGATTGTGCCCCTCCTACCGTCTCATTGCGGCTTCTCTTTTGTCTTTGGATGTGGAGTATCTTTTTTGGTGAGTTCCAGTGTCTTCCTGTCGGTGCTTGTTCAGCAGTTAGTTTTGATTCTGGTGCTCTTGCAAGAGGGAGTGACAGCAGGTCTTTCTACTCCTCCATCTTGAACCAATCTCCAGAAAGTGAGATTTTTAAAGCTGAGACTTTAGAGATTTCTGGTTAACCCCCATGATTTCACGGATGATGAAATTGACACCCAGAACGGTAGTAATACAATGAAATGATCATTGACAGAATCTTCTTGCAAGACTGTGTGTTTCAACACAATATATATAATACAGCTGACTGCAACTAACCATGCGCAATCTTTATGACTGCTTCTGATATTCATTTGTGATTGCTCACATTTAGCAATAAAATATGAAAGAAATGCTTTGTTAAAAATAGTATCAGGTTTTCACTACATCCATTCTAGCTTCTTTATTTCTTTCAATAATTTTAAATTTTGGACATCTCTTTTTTAAACAATTTGCTTAATGTGGTACAATTTTCTTAACCACAGCATCCAAGCAATTCATGTTATGGTTACAATCTAAATTATTTAAGATATAAATGTTTATTAGAGCTACCTCATTAAGGAACTTGGTTGTAATTATTGGGCAGTTCCTAGACTCCCTTACAGAAACAGAGTGCTGTTTCTTCTTGCTGTTTTTAGACTTCTTTTCAAACGAATTCAGAAGTAGCATCTAATTTCCCTTCTTGCTGTGGTATGTGATGAAACTTCAGTTGGAATTAAGAATTAAAGTATAAGTAGCAGCAAATGTTTCAAATTCTCCCAAACTAGTCTCAGGTTATGCTAATTTCATAGTCCCGCCACTAGGGCCATGTGCTTGGACAAACTTGTGAGGATTTGTTGGTATTATAAAATATATTTGTTAAAACATGAGGACTCTTTTTTTGTTAAATATTCGAATGCACTTCCCTTATATTATTACACGTTTCCTTTTCCCCCTAATATTTCATTATTTCTCAGTACCATTATTAGAGGGACAGAGGAGGAATACATCCATTGACCACTTTGTTTCTCTGGAAGTCTGGGCAATAATACCGTTTTATTTGTAAAATTGAATCATTACCCATACTTTTAAAGGGCTTTCTACTTTTAAAATGTATTCAATCGTTGCTTGCCATTTTTATAAAGACCAAAATGGAAAAAAATTTCAGAATCGCAGGATGATTATAGCCACGTATGCATCACTTCAGGCAAGCTGAGCCTCTCCTTTTTAAGTAGTGCAGCCACTTATATGCCCTGTGGCAGCCTACCACTCCTCTCCACTCTCCACTTCTCCAGTGTAAAGTAGCCCTGATACTTTCCTAAGCAGCCCCTCCTACAAAGCACCTGCCAGAGTTTAGCCTATAAAGACTGCTGATGGTGAAGGCTCTGGCCCTAATTAGCTTCATAAAAATATTTCTCTGCTAGCAAGGATCCCAAACACTTTGATTTCTGGAATTTGTCATTATGCTGTGTTTGAAATTCTTATCCTACAATTCCCCTTTAGTTGCAGTCCTGAAGTATATGCCTTGTCTCCTCCATGATTTCTGCCTTGAGCATTGGATCCTGCAGTGTTGAAAGACATCTTTTTATTATGATCCACAACTAAAAACTCCCTTCTTGCTTTAAAAAACCAAAGGCTGCCTGCATGGCATCACTTTTGGGGGTTGCTAAGCTTGTATGTTTTTCTAACACTTCACATTAAATAATAGTTTTACTGAACAGTTCTTGAAATTCTGATAAATACTGTTAAATTAGTGTTGAACAAAATGTGCAATGCATATTAGAGAGGGGATGCATTCTTATGCAGGGACATGGGTATATATGTTATATATGCCAGTATACAACCCACCATTCATGCCAGGACTGGAAGGATTGCTGAAGATAAACTGGCTATCCTACTATTATGATCATCAGTGTTGGTCTTTGCAGCCAGCATCACTTTAGGCAGTGGCTAATTATTACCCTTGCCAAAATGGACAGCATTTGTCAGTCTGAGTTAAAGACAAAGATATTCTGGGTTGATTAAGAAAGCCAGGTGTATTAATCTCCTTTGATGTTTTAAAAACAACTGACAGAATTGTTGAGAGACTTTTGAAAATATTAAGGGAAATCCATTTCATCTTCTAGGTATGATGACTTATTTTGAAAGCAGTGTCTGGGACATCAGCTTGTAATCATCCATTTTCCATTCATTCGTGCAATATTTGGTATTTGTCTGGTGCTGGGAATAATGCAAACAAAAATAATTCAGATAATATCCATTCACCAGGAGCTCATAGATGGGCATAATACAGTTATATCACTCAATGCAACCAGATCTGTTTTTCCAAACTTACTCATCTTTAATAAAAGAAAACAATGAAGTAAAACATCTGCAACTTAAACTTATTTAATTCATTCAGTGCTACTTTTTTGGAGGGAACAGTAGCAGCATTAGCATGTGGTTCTTTGAGTTGGATCAGGCTGCCCTCTGCAGACTCCGTTATTAACTAAGAACAATCTTAATTTGGGGATCAGGAGATGATGGTATGGCAACCTGCCCCAGTGACTACAGCTGCCCTTCTTTAGAGAATTCTATCTAGAAGAGGTGATACCCCATTAGCACACTAATAGGATCAACAAAGCAGATTAAATGAGATGATAGGGTGGGGTGGAAATTTGGAGGGAATGGGAATAAACTGGTCAAAACTTTCTAAGGTAACTAGGCTACTAAGGCCTAGGGCAGTGGTTCACAAACTTTGCACATCAGAATCACCTGGGGAATTCGCTTATTACTGCTTTCAGAGATTGTGATTTAATTGGTCTTGGCTGAGGCTGGGGATAGGATCCTGAAAGATTCTAACATGAGAGAAGTTGGGAACCAGCTCCAGGGGGCAGGACTTTTTAAGAATCAAACTGTCTAATTGTATTTTGCTAAGAACCATTTGAGAATGATACACTGTTGGTCACACTGAAACCCAGAGAATATTGAAGTTGAAAGGGAACTGAGATCATTAGTTCAGCGATTGTACAGGGGCAAATCTTAGGTCATTTATGGCTCCCAGATCTGTTTAGCCTGCATAACGTTCTAAAAGACTTGAGAGCATTCACATAAAAATCTGGATGTTTAGTTTCTTTGAAAAATCAGATCTGACAACTCTGGACCTGCAGAGCAGCAAGAGGCCAGCACTCAGCAGTAGTGTAGTCCCTTATTCAGGCATCTGCTCTCCAGTTTGCCAGTCAGCACCAGCCTGACCCTAGTGGCCATTTGATTTAGTCCAATTGACTCTTGCCTTCTACAAAACTAAAAACAAACTTTCTGCAACTTTCACCCACTGCTCCCAGCTCTGCAGCACAAAGGAAGCTCATCCCTTCTTCTGCATGAAGGGGCTTCAACTTCTCAAGGGCAGGATTCTTGTTTTCTCTCTGAACGTTCTCCTCCAGCTGAATACCCCTAGTTCCTTCGAGTATTCCCTGTGTGAAACACGTTCTGGACTCCTCACCATCCTGGTCCCTTTGATGGATATAGATCCTCCTTGAAAAATGTACCCAGAGTGAAATGCAGCATTTGCATTGAGATCTTCTGACCATGGCTGTGACACTTCTATTGATAAAATCTGAAACACCACTAATTTTTATCAGTGTCATCACATGGCTGGTTCATGTCGAGCCTGTGTCCAACTGAAGTCCCTCCCCTAAGTCTTTTTTATATAAAATGATAAGCCAGTTTTCTCTACCCCAAATTTATACAAGCTATTTATAATTTAAATGAAGATGCTACATTTATGACCTGTTTAATTTCATCTTGATGGTGCCACTGTGGAACTGTTTTGAGTTGTAATTGTCTTCTATTACATCAGCAATGTTGGGTTGCTCCACTCTCAAATCTTTCTGATGCCTTCATTCAAATTGCTGATTTAAAAAATAAAGTTGAATAACAGCCCTGTGAAATATCAATAGAGGCCAAAATCACACATTCATTAATCAACAATTTGTTTAAATACCTGAATAGATGTCCATGTACTACACCATTAAGGCCATATTTTTCTTATCCATGAGGCTGTTGAGAAACCCTTTCAGGAACTGATTTATACTGTATTCCATTCATCTCACCTAGTAATGTAACAGCCCTATCTCAGGAGGAACTAGGTTAGTGCTTTCCCCAGTTTTGAAAATCAGAACACTAGAAGACAGCAGCTATTTCTTGCTGAAGGCTATCTATCTGGCTACCTTAGGGTATGCCAATCTATCCCTTTGAATCATTACGTGATGGAAGTGAAGTTGAGACCATAAAGAATTTCTACATAGGCAGAATCCAGGACTCAGGAGGTCAAGGAGACAGAGATTATGCATGTAGAACCAACAGCTTGTCAACATTTAAGAATCCTGAGACACAGCCTGTTAAGAAGCAAATGACAGACAATTCTTTCTCTACATTAAATCCGATTTTCAACACAAAAAGTAATGGATTGAAAAAGGAACCTTTAGCATAACCATACTTAATGACTTTCTTGATTCAGTGACCGTCCCAAAAATAGGCAAACAATTTAAATAACTTGATCAGTTTGGAAACCACTTGGTATACCAAGGTCATCCTCTCAGAAAAGTTCAAGTTCTTGTGTTCTCTGATAATCTCTCAGAAGCACAGTTTCAGTCCTAGGAAGCTGATTCTTGAGAATTATTTTGGGACTCTTCGGAGTTCATTCATGAGCCAAAGGGCAACACTGAGCACAGCCAGGGAGCCCGACTGGTGAGTGGCAGCCAAAGGAGTTGGGACGTACATCAGCAGAGTGCTAATGCCCAAGCCCACCTGTTACAAAGGAAAGAAAGCAGTAAGCCAAGTGGGAACCACATATTCAGAGCTGAAATGACTGGCATGGATAACCAGATACACAAATCCTCCACATCCTCCCATCAGAACATTAAAACATATATTGTTAAATTTCACAAGTAGACTTAAAACAAAGGAAATTCAAACAAATTAGATAAACCTAAAACTCCTTTTAATCATCCTTCATCTAGCCCAGTTCTCCCCAAAGGCAGCCACTGTCACTTTCTACACACCTATACTTTTGTATACATGTTTATAGAAAAACAGCTTGGTGCTTTTAAAAAATATATTGTTCTGTCACTTGCTTTTTTTCACTTAATGTATGTCTTGAGATCTTATTATTTTAAACTACAGTACAGTATTCCACAGTATGGATATACCATAGGTGTTTATTTAGGCTGTTTCCAATTTTTCACTATCACAGTAATTCCACAATGAATTTCCTTGGACAGGTCAGGCATTAATAAGTCAATATGCTCGATGAAAGGATTAAACATTTAACACTTCAAAAGATATTGCCAAACGCTCACTAAAAAGAGCTATACCAACTCATGCTCTTGCTAAGAATATACAAAGGTATCCATTTTCCTATACCCATGCCAACATCTGCTTACCTTTTTTTTTTCTTTTTTTTTCCAATCTGACAGGTACAAAATGGCACACATTGCTTTAATTTGTTCCTCTCTGATCATATGTGAGGCTAAACAGCTTTTCATATTTATTGGCCATTCATCATTCCTCTTGTGAGAATTGTGTATTAATATCCTTTACTTATTCTCCGGTTGTTAACCTTTTAGTCTACTATAAATATTGAAAATATTTTCTCCTAGTCTGTCACCTTTCTTCTTAAATTTTGTTTTGAGGACACCTTCAGAACAAAAAGAAGTGGCTTATACCTGTGTGTATGCCAAAGCTAGCAGAGTCACTGCTGCGATCTTGGTCCTTCGAGGAAGGGGAATTCTCCGGGAGAGGAAGTAGAGTGCTGTAATGGCAGCAACTGAAGTGATTCCCTGCAGGGAGGAAAGAGTCTCATCAAGTGCCAGGAAGAAATGTTCCACCCTCCTGGTTTCTGCTCACCTTACAGGTAACTCCACCAGATCCACTGAATAAGCACTAAGCACTTTCCCCTCCCAGGCAGAGAACCACCTGATTACTCCTCCTCAGCTTCTTCCACGCTCCTCTTCTGTTTGCCACTTCAATGCCAACCAGGCATGGCTCCGCCTAAAGTTTCTGCACGTACTGCTTTATACACACTTACTCTCAGCAATCTTATCCACCTTCCAATGTGGGTGTCCCCCAGGTGTGGCCCTCAGTTTTTAAATTATTCTTTTCATCCTTATCCCTAATTTTATCTCTACTCCAATCCTGTATTTTTAAAATAGGGCTAACACCAGCACATGAGGGTTATTGTTTTCCTGGGCTGTGGTGGTGCTGCCAGCGAGGGCTGAAAATGATCTGAAGTCTCCTTTTCATTTCCACCTCTTCAGAAAGAGAGTCTGCAGCTGGCAGGAGGGTTTCCATCCCCCTTCCACGATGTCAAGCAGAATGTTTTTCTATCATTTTCTATACCAATTTCATTTCTTTTCCTTTTCAGAGCTGTCCACGATGACAATTTCAACCAGACCTGACTTATTCCAAAATGCTGTGTGGCAGTGGCGACTGAGCCCACACAAGGTAACTTGCCCAAGCCCCAGCATTCCATCTGGATATGAGGCCCCTGGGCCTCTCTCTGTGTGCACTACTATCATCTCACACTCAACGTACCTCAGTCTGATGACACCCTCTGTCTCTAGCTCAACGCTCATTCCAACAGTCCCATTTCTGCTGGTGTGTTTTAAACATGCCACAGAAGAAACTCTGGGATCTCCTTTGATCCTTCTTTACCTTTATTCCTGCAGCCAGTCTTCTATTCCCTACAACCTCTCTCAGATTCACCAAGCTTCTCAAGTCCCAGTCCCACCATTAAGCCCTGAACCCCATCACCCTCACGGCATTACTACAATAGCACTACCGCTTCTCCCGGGTCTCCTTGCTGCTGATCTTTCTCTGCTCCAATTTATCGTGCCCAGGCCACCAAGCTGATCTTATAGCAGGCCCTTAATAAATATTAGCTTAAATAAAATGAGTATTTATGATGCTCTTAGCTCCTTGGCGTCTTCGTTCAGCCCTGACAGCTGTGTGTTCATCAACCACTGTCTTTGTACTCTCTTTTCTACTCAGCCTCATTTTTGCTAAAATGACTCTCCTATGCATGTGCAGGATTGAGGGGAGTTATCATTTGCCAGATGATAAAAGGCATATTTGAACTTTTAGAAGGTGGCAGTATCCTGAAAGTCAGAATTTGGCTAGAGGGGTGTGGGTAATTAAGACAAAAACGTCACATCAGAAAACTGGTACTAAATTTCTTCTAAAAAGAAAAGGAAATCTAATTCCCACTCTACCATCTCAGCGTTGCCATCAGTGCTTCAGACACTGCAGAGCCTGTAAGAGGCTCTCTGTCCTTAGTAGCCAGTAACCACCAGCCAGACTCACCAGAATCCGGTGATCAAACTGCACCGTGGTGGGATTCTCGAAAACATTCCTCAGGAGAGGGGAGAAGGTAAAGAGATCCTCTGGGATCCAAGATTCTCCCATCTTGGGGAAGGAGTTGTAAACAAGCCCAGCATCCAGCCCTGCCACAAAAGCCCCTGTATTCCAAGGTAAAAAGTATTTATTAAAATGAAAGAAAGAAGAGATCAAAGATCAAATACTAGTTCTGACATAGAAAATGTTTATTATCCCAGAGTTAGACAAAAGGAATAGTCAGAGAATAGAAAGATCAATAGCACAGGTTCTCAAACAGGGAATATATATCACAATCACCATGGAAACTTAAAAACAAAAAACAAAAAACCCCTGCATCCTTACCTATTCCCACCCCAAGATTCTGGCATGCCTCCCCTAGAGGGGTGGACTAGAAGCTCTAGAGGAGGCATATATATTAGTTTAGAAAAGTTCTCTTGGTGATTGTGATGTCCTGCTTACCTCCCCAACTGAGAACTACTCATCTATTCTGGAACTAGTTAATTTACTCCTTCACTTCCTCAAGTCTCCACTCAAATGTCACCTTATCAAAGAGATCTCCCCAGTTATCCTATACTGCATAAGATAGCCCTCCCCCCACCCCCTCTATCCCCTTATCTTGCTTTTTCTTCGAAGCACCAAACATTATCTGACATGTTACGTTTTGTTGTTTATTATCTGTCTTCCTCAAGTGCTCAAAAAAATCTTATAAACTAAATGCTGGGTAAACACACAAAGAAGGTATCCATGAATTTAATGGATGACTGATCCATTAGTCATGATCAAAGATTCAGGTGTGTTAAATCACATTCCTTATTTTTATAAATGGCATTTATAAAGTCAAAATTCATGTTCTTCCACCAAAAAAAGGGGAGGAGGTTTGGGTGGATCACTGGTTTGATGGTTTTATTTAGAGCTGTGCTGTCCAATCAAACTTTCTAAGATGATGGAAATGTTCTATATCTGTCATGCATCCAGTACAATGGCTGCTAGCCACCCACGTGGCTACTGAGCACTTGAAATGTGGCTAATGTGAATGAGAAACTAAACTTTAAATTTTATTTACTTTTAAGTAACTTAAGTTTAAATAGTCACATGAGGCTACTGATAATTGTATAGGGCAGTTCCAGAGTAAGAGAGGTAGAGGTGTGATTTAAAGAATGATAAAGATCTGTGTTAGTCTCTTTGCCCCAGTAAACTCCCCATCTAAGGCCATCTTTGAGGACAGGCTTTTGTCGGACCCATCTTGGTGTAGTGTAATAACAATAATGTCGGGACTTCCCTGGTGGCGCAGTGGTTAAGAATCCGCCTGCCATTGCAGGGGACATGGGTTCAATCCCTGCTCCAGGAAGATCCCACATGCTGCGGAGCAACTAAGTCCATGAGCCACAACTACTGAAGCCCACGCACCCTACAGCCTGCGCACCGCAACTACCGAAGTCCGCGCATTCTAGGGCCCATGTGCTGCAACTACTGAAGCCCGCATACCTAAAGCCTATGCTCTGCAACAAGAGAAGCCACTGCAATAAGAAGCCCGCGCATCGCAATGAAGAGGAGCCCCTGCTCGCTGCAACTAGAGAAAGCCCACGCACAGCAACAGAGACCCAACGCAGACAAAAATAATAACAACAACAGCTAACACTTACATAGCCTTTGCTACATGTGAGGTGCTAAGCACTTCACATATATTACTCAAACTATTATCATCTTCCCCATTTTATAGATGAGGTCATGAAGCCCAGAGAGGTTACATAGCTTGTCCAAGGTCATGTAGTTCACAAGTGGTAAAGCCAGGATTTGAACCTAGACAGTCTGGATCCAGATAGATAACTCAATATTTTTGTTCAACCAACTGGAAAGCAGGATTTGGGGAAGGGAGGAAGGAATAAAAAACAAGAGGATGAAGATGGTGGTATATGACAGAGGCAGGTATGAAAAGGAAATATAAAGATACAGAAGGAAAGCATTAGGCAAGAAATCCCACCTGAATGTGGAATGAAGCTAGGCCATCTTTGATAAGAAGAGTCCTACCTGAGAGAGCCGTAAGGAACACCAGGCCTGCAGTTCCATGAGCAAATCGTCTCAACCTCAGGAGTTGACGCGTTTCAGGCAACTAAATAAGAAAAGAAAATCGCACAGATAAACTGAATGCAGGAACTATGAAAGGCAGCAGAGATCTCCAAGGCCAAACCCCAGAGACAATCTGAGGTCAGATCTTCTCTGACCCCTAGACTAGGTTAAGTTACTCCCAGCAGATATTCTATTTTATTCTATCTAAATTTTATTAAATTTATACATTTACTATTTGTCTTCCCTGCTATCTTGTAAGTTTTGTGAAGGCAGGAACTGCCATCTGACTTGCTTATTATAGTAATCCTAGCCCAGTAGTTGGCATATAGGTATTCAATATATATCTGTTCAGTAACTGATCTGCATTGTTCACGGGAAAATCCTTCACCGTGGTTAAAGTGATGTGACTTAAGGTACAGAACTGGATTTTCATGCTGTGTGTAATAATTCATTTTTAGCAAATATAATCAGAATCAAAACTGCATAAAATGCCTAGAGTAGAGATTCTTGCATTTAGTGTTTTGGGTAAAGCCAAAATTTGTTTTTATTTTTACTGTAGCCAACTTGTGATAATAATCAGTGAATCAACAAATATTTAGTAAGAACTTTATACACAGATAACCATAAAGATACAAAGGAAAGTCAGAGTGCTGCCCTCAAATGATTTACAATCTAGTATGTGAAGAGTTAGGCATCATTACTAAGATTTTGTAGGACAGTATATCAGCACTGTCCATTGGAATTTTCTGTGATGATGGAAATGTTCTATTATCTGTGCTGTCCAATATGTGGCTAATGAGGATCTAAAATGAGGCTAGAGCAACTGAAAATTTTTTTAAAAGTTAATTTTATTTAAAGTTTAAGTCGATAACAAGTTTTTTTTTTTTTTTTTTTTATAATCTAGTTGTGGCAAGCGGGGGCCACTCTTCATTGCGGTGCGCAGGCCTCTCACTATCGCAGCCTCTCTTGTTGCGAAGCACAGGCTCCAGACGCGCAGGCTCAGTAGTTGTGGCTCACGGGCCTAGTTGCTCCGCGGCATGTGGGATCCTCCCAGACCAGGGCTCGAACCCGTGTCTCCTGCATTAGCAGGCAGATTCTCAACCACTGCGCCACCAGGGAAGCCCCGATAACAAGTTTTTTTATATAAAGTTAATTTTATTTAATTTAAATTAGAATTTAAATAGACACATGTGGCTAGTAGCTACTGTGCTGGACAGCACAGTTCTATGTGGTTGACTAGCATCTCAAATCCTTTCTGTAATTTGTGCAGAATATAAATAAACAAAAAGAGAAAAACAATGAATAATTAAAAAGTCATTGGTAACCTTTAAGAGTACCATTCGGTAGAGAGTATTTAGGAGACTATGGGCATGTGTATAAGTGTGGAGGTGAATGTGTGGCTGGGTATATATAGGGGTGGGTGGGGAAGCCAGATGACAAGAACTGGAAAACAAGAATGGGTTGTCAGGATGTACAGCTACAGATGTAGTCAATTCATTTTAGAAGTCTGCCTTTGAAAGTAAGAGGAACAGGAACTACTCAGGTGTGGATTATCTACTATACCAATGTTTCAGCCCCACCTGGCTTTCCTGTGGGATGACTGCCAAATCAACATCTCCTGTCCTTATTGGGATCCAGACCACTGGCTCCAAATACCTACTGGATGATTCTATTTAAAAGTCCTACTATCATCCTAAACTTCACGCCATGAACAGGTTATCCAGGCCAACCATGACTTTAATACCTAAAATAATACTCATTTTAAAAATACCTAGTGTTTTCCTTTAATCAGCATACAGAGAAAATACTTTTAAGCAAGATCACTACGGTTTACGATTTTGTTAGGTTTGCTGAATGGTAGGGTCCCCACATAAAGAACAAACAACTCAACGTCACTCTTGCACACCACTAAAGGTCTACAAATAGCTCTCGTTCTGGTCTTCCTCACCTCTCCATCCATCATCCCTCTGGGAGTCAAAAGTAAAGTGGTTGGGGTATCTCTTGTTGTTGGTACTCTTTCCTTTTTCTAAAATTCATCTTTTCATCTTTCTTGATAGGCAATGCTGACAAAATATTTGGCACCTATACTAATTCTCCTTTGAATAAGCTGCTCCAGCCCAAAAGAATAATTGCAGTTTTTACTTTGCCGTCCCAAAGCTATCCAGAGTCCCAAAGTTCAATGTTTCTCTAAACTTTGGTTCTATCTAGCTTCTGGTAAAACTGATAGGTGTTACTAAGGAAATGCATGCATTTTGACAAATAACTTCCCATTAGTACCAGAATTTCCATTTCTCTGACCCTGTCAGCATCTGTACAGATGTGGTAAACAATACAGACTGACTTCACCTTGTGCTGAGGTAGCAGCAGCGAGAACGAGGTCCACAAGCTGGCGCAATAAAGCACAAGGGCCGATCCCAGGTGGGCGGCAAGGCGGTACTGACTGACCCGAGGGATGTCATGGGAATCTGGTTTCTCTGCTAAGCCACTTTTCACCATATACCATCCCAACAGGCCCTGCAACCAAAAAGAGAAGAGGCAAACAAAACAAGGTTGAAGCTGTTTATTCAACTTTACTCTCTGAGAAAGCGAGTACTCCCACCTAACTCCTCCTTTCCATACCCTCCCATATCCCCAGTATCCCAGGAATTGAGACCTACCCAATTTCCACATACAGCACCAAAAACACTTCACCACTGTCTAGAATAACATTTTATTGAAGTAGAAGCCAAATATAGAAAAGTACACAAAAGTGTATTTGGGCAAAAGCTTACAAATACTTGGCATAATTTAACATTATGTAAACCAGTGAAATATGAAAGTAAAAAGACAGCTGATTTTACAAAAACAAGATGCTTTGGAGAAACCTGACAAAGATAACTGCTTAAAAACAATTACTGTCATGTTAGGTGGAAAAAGACAATTATAAAGGTTTGGGGGGAAGTCATAAAAATCTAGAAGGCTTTTCAGGCAAATTGGTTTGAAAGTGTCTAAATTTCTACTCCTCTTTTAAAAAAATGGTAATGAAAGTACATGTTTAAGTTGAAAAGTTTAAGGTATTTATTATTATTCTATGATTCCCTGTTTTAACTGACTTTTTCAAGTAACCAAACAACTGTCAGTTCTAGTCATATCAGATAAGGTACCCTTTCACCCTGACTCTCCCCAGCCAATAATCATATTAAAGAGGTGGGAGAATCCCACCTTTTCTAGATATATACTCCTCAGGAAGTCTTTTCGGGTATTTCTTTCCCCCTTCGAGACTACCCTGGATGCTCTAATTATCGTGACTTCACCTGCACAGGACACTGGAAGATAAGGGAGTATACAGTGTGATTTGCCAGCCCTCACTTCCCTCCTCTTGCCATCTTCAAATTTTTGCCTCCCTGGAAGTCTATCTTAAGTAGGTTTTATTTTTCCTTTTAATTCTGAAACAAACTTTCACTTTGTTTCACCAATCCTCCCTAGTTTCTATTAGATTTTTATTAATGTCTAACTCTTTATCTTTTTCTATCGCCTTTATTTTGTCTCTTACATCTCCCTCCTTAATTCCTTTTCATTGGTTCGTATTCTTACCACTTTGAGTTAAATCAACCAATTAGCTTCCTCCTGATCAAATTTTGGTATTTCTTTGATGCTCTGAGACTCTCCCTTAGGGCCTGTATACCTTGACCCAAATACTCACATGTGTCTTCTCTAACACTCCTTTCCTTGGCTCTCAGGCTTCCCTAACCCCTTAACTGTGGGAGTCACTCAAAGCTCTTTTCCTTAAGAAAAGAGAGAAGTTCAACTTATATAATTTTAATCACCATTTATACTTTCAGCTCTCAGCTACATCTGTATTCTAAGATTCTTCATCCCACAGAATGTTTCTCTCTTCTGGAATTTCCCTATTTGCTTCTATAGCCCTTCTAGTATAGGGACCCCACTTCCCCATAGAGCAGGCAAGTTAGAAAAAGGGAGGATACAAGAACCCAGGAAGAAAGCCATGATGGAAAAGAAACTCTAATTCTTGTGACATAAAAACATATTTACTGAGTGCTTACTGATTCTAGGCACTACTCTAAGCACTTTACATGCATGATCTCACTTAATATTCACAGAACCTAAATGGTAGGTTCTATTATTGTCCCCATTTACAGGTAAGGAAAGCACAGCCTACAGAGGTTAGACAACATGCCCTACTAAGTGACGGAGCTGGGCCTTGAAACCAGGCCTGTGACACTAGAATCCATGCTCTTACCTACTTTGTTACACTGTTTCAAAGATTACTTCATTAAAAACAATGCCAACTTGGAGGCTCCTGAGAACATCTCTGGTTTCCCAAACGAGTAAATCTCACCTGGAAGCAAACTAAACCACAGAGGGCAAGAACACGTCCTTTCAGGCCATGCGTGAGCCAGCCCTTTCTCCAAAAGTAGGCAGCAGGCAGGATGTATGCGAGGCCTACAAGGCGACCCCACATTCGGTGTGAGTACTCCATGTACCAGATGAACTTGAATTCTGCCAACGTCATATCATGATTCAAGCTGGGTGAAAAGGGACGTCAAAAATAAGAAAGAGAAAAAAGTTCCATCTAATTTTTATTTCCTGACAGAATGCAGGAACATTCTCGGTTTTAAAGCTTGACTGGTCTGCCCTCTTCCTCATTGGCCATCTCAGAATCACTTTGGAATTGGAGGTTTAGCGTAGGGAGCTCGCTAAACATAACTGAACCAAATATCGAAAAATAAGGGAACCTAAACATTCTGAAATGTTTTAATAAGCAATAGATTGCGTGGGGCCACTGGGGAGTTTACCCGATTTCCTATAATACTTACATTTTAAATTCTGGAAACTGCTGGTATTTCTGGAATTCTGCTTCCCATTCTTCTTGGCTTGTAGGTGGCTTCATCCCCTTTATTAAATGCCAGTCTACCATTGAGAGGCCAGACTCTGTCAACCTTAAAATAGGAAAGAAATCTGAGTGTATTAAACTTGAGTGTGTATATGTGTGTGCACCACACTGGATTATTCATAAATGGTTTACAGCAGCAAGTGGATCTGAACGTGACCCCTATAAAGGTAAACACATTGTTTCATCGTTTCCTCTTTTGACAACTTGCTCTCTTCTTACTGCTTAGAATTTTGTCAGAAGCGGCTGCTATCAGGTACAAATTTCTTTATTCCTTGTACTATTTCATTAAACTCTCCTTACTTCTTTCACTAGCATTGCTTGACAGATAAAACCAACCCTTAGACGAAAGAAATGTGTCCTAAATGCATAACCAATATTATTTTATTTTTTTAATTAATTTTTTGGCTGCGTTGGGTCTTCGTTGCTGCACGCGGGCCTTCTCCAGTTGCGGCGAGTGGGAGCTACTCTTGGTTGCAGTGCGCGGGCTTCTCATTGCGGAGGCTTCTCTTGTTGCAGAGCATGGGCTCTAGGCGCACGAACTTAGTAGTTGTGGCATGCGGGCTCAGTAGTCGTGGCTTGCGGGCTCTAGAGTGCAGGCTCAGTAGTTGTGGCGCACGGGCTTAGTTGCTCCACGGCATGTGGGATCGTCCCGGACCAGGGCTCGAACCCATGCCCCCTGCATTGGCAGGCAGATTCTTAACCATTGTACCACCAGGGAAGCCCCAACCAATATCATTTACACAGGGAGAAGAGACTGCTACAGATATAAATCGGTTTAGGTTATTGAGTGAATTTAAAGACAATACAACTCAAATTTGTTGCAGTTTCCCATAACAGCCTATATAACACATAGGTATTTTGAAATAAGGGCACAGGGAATGTGGAGAGAATTTGAGGAACACATGCTTTATTAACACTATAAAGTATTTTCACCAAAAGGGGTCAGGGTTCCAAAAGTAAAAAAGCTGATTTCTGGTCTGAGGCAGGAAATGTACAAGACAAACCTGGAACATCTTAACCAGAAAGCAAGGAATCAAAGGTTACTAGGGTCCTGTCAAAAAGACTCTGGGGCTTCCCTGGTGGCGCAGTGCTTGAGAGTCCGCCTGCCGATGCAGGAGACGCGGGTTCGTGCCCCGTTTCGGATCCAGTCTGAAGGGGTTCCCACTGACTAAAGATGGGACAATTTGGGCAAATCTCAGTACAATGGATTGAAACATATCAAATATATTTAAAACTAGGAGCTCCTAATACTTAAAAACTCACTTTATTGGTCACCTTTGGAGAGTGCTTGGGAACCAATTTATTTTGAAGATTGGTAAATAAAAGGAAAGGAATCAAGTGTTTATCTTGCCTTTCCTAACACATTGTACCTTAGGATAACCAAATTGCTGATGAGAGAAAGTTTCTCTTTATAGTTGAGCTAATAAAATACCTATTACAATTTTGCAACTCTAGTGAAATAATGTATTTAGGCAATGATCATCAATGGCTGTTGACATCTCTAATAGACACCAGATATTTATAAATGTTCTAATAACCTATGAAGTATTTTGCCCCCTGCCCCCCAACCTGAATCTGATCAAGCAACAAGTGGTTTACAGGAAATACAGGGGACAATGGAACATGTTAAACAACATAAGTATGAAATCAGCAAAATCTAGACTGTGAGAAAATCCAAAAGGACAAATAACTTGGGTTTCTTCAACAACAAAAAAACTGCAAAGGGGGTGGGAGAGGTGGAGGGAGTAGAATCCAAATCTATAAAATATCTTTATAGATTTAAAGAGACCTAACAGGCATGCATAGGAACCAACTGAGAGGTACGGAACTTATCTGCACTTAATTCAAACAAACTGTACAAAAATTTTTATGACATATTTGAACTCTGACTGTAGGGGGAAATATACACAAACAATGCACAGCTAACAGGTAGGACCTGAACCAGTCTTTATGAAGGGCTTCTACTAGTAAAACCCTAAACTGTTCTAGGGCTGGGCAAGCCATCAGACCTGTTCCCTCTGTAGGCCTCAGTTTCTGCATACGCAAAATGAGGGAGCTAGATGAAATGATTTCTAAGGTCCCGCCCCCCTCCATCATCCTGCACTTTAATGATGACTCAAATAGCTGACTCACTATGAACAAACTACTCACCTAGTTACTCCACCAAGAATAACTGCTCCAGCCACTGTTCCACTGCAGACCAGGAGCCATCGGCCCACCACCCGCTCAGCAGCCTTTGAAGGTTGGGACACTGTACCCCTTCCAGGTTGCAAAGCTACTTCAGAGATTGTGCTGTATTGCCCTGGCCTCAAGGGGCGCCTGATCCCACAGCTGCAACCACACTACGGATCAAGACAGACAAATTACAACTGGAGAAAGAGGGAAAGGCTTCACTCCACTGCTACTCACACTCAATCTCTGTCTGGTGTGGAGTACCCTGAATGGCCCCATTTCCACTGCTACTGCCCTGGTAAATCATCATCTCTTATCTGGACTACATCCACTCCCAACCGCCTCCAATCCGTCCCCACACCACCTGAACCTTCTGATCTCTGCATATTTCCCCCAGACTTAACTCTACACCTAAATATGGATTATTTTCTTTCTCCTATGGGTCTTTTTTTTTTTTTGCTGTACGCGGGCCTCTCACTGTTGGGGCCTCTCCCGTTACGGAGCACAGGCTCCGGACGCACAGGCTCAGCGGCCATGGCTCACGGGCCCAGCCGCTCCGCAGCATGTGGGATCTTCCCGGACCAGGGCACAAACCCGTGTCCCCTGCATCGGCAGGCGGACTCCCAACCACTGCGCCACCAGGGAAGCCCTCTCCTATGCGTCTTTAAATATGATTTTTCTCTGACCGGGGCACTACTGGTCCCCTGACTGATAATATCTACTGCAGATCTCAGCTTAGATGTCACCTCCTCTAGGAATTATTCCCAGACTCCCCCACATCTGCAACAGGTCACTCTCCCAGCACACTATACCTCTCCATCACACTGTAATGTACCATTCAGTACACAGAGGTTTGTCTCCATCTCCCACTAAGCTATGAGCTGTGGGACAGCAATGTCTAGTCAGTCTGGCTCTTTTCCTCTTGCATAC